TCGGCACACAACAACCGCGTTTGCTCACCATTCGAGCCAGCCGGCCAAATAATTCTGGTGCGGTTGCCAGGATCCCGCATCCTAAGATCATCCTCAGCTCGTCAACCATGGTTAACCCTGAATCGCTAGAGGAAACCAAAGCCAAGCGTGCAAACCTTCGCCGCTGGATCACAAACTCGCTACAAGCCGTTCGTATCGGATCGCACAAACGCGTCAACTACAACCCTCCACTAAACTTCACGTCAGTCGACTCGGTCAGCACTCAGCTGTCGAGCTACGACGAAGCTATCAAGGATGACAGCGGAATCGAGTACTACCAACACCTAGTCGAGATCACCCAACGACTCGAACAAGACCAACGTGAACTCGCCGACCAGCGTCTCAAAGACCTGGAGTACCAACTCGTCCAAGAGAAACTCGCAACTCAGAAGGCAAAGACAGCTGCAGCTAACTCGCCTGCAAAACCAGCATCAAACATTCGCCTTGATTTCGTAAAAATCCCACCGTTTGACGGTACACCGTCTAAGTATCGCCGTTTTGAAGAGCTGTTCGAGGCTTTGATTGAGAACAATCCTTCCTACGATGAAGCCTACAAGTTTGTAGCCTTCACCAATCTCATCGGTCATCGTGCAGACGAATTTGCTCCCAATCTATCACCTACACTCGATAATCTCGCCATTGTCAAAAGTCGAATGAAGAAACACTTCGAGGAGCCGGGACGCATTCGTGAGTACATCCGTCAACGCTTCATTCGCCTCAGTACGGTCACATCCCCGTCCCAGACCACGCTCTTGCACAATCTCATCATTGCGTGGGAAGAAGGAATACTCGCGCTCTCCAAGTCAGGAACCTCAGATGAGCTAATCGACGCGCAGTATGTCCGTTTGATGACAAGCAAGCTGCCTCGTGAAGTCCTCCAAGTCATCCAGTTCAAGGAGAATTGGTCAGCTAAACAACTGATCAAAGGACTGAAGGACAGTCTCGAAACCGAACGTATGTACAATGAGTTTTCGAGTGTAAGTTTCCGAGAACCAAAACCTCGTACCAGCGTGCACGTCAGCCACAATGAACCAATCACTCGTTCTCAACCTCGTCAGTCGGCTGGACCAGTGCAGTCATTCACCGAGCTCTGTGCATTGTGTGACGGTCATCATCGATCGATCTATTGCAATTCTTACGATGTCACCAAGCGCAGGGAGATTGCCGAAAAGAAGCGTCTATGCGATCGTTGTTTACGCTCTGATCATCATCGTCTCGACTGCCGATCGCGATATATTTGCCCTTGCGGTGCGCCGCACTCAAAGGTGCTATGTCAGTTATCAAACCCTCGTCCTCATCTCAGCAACTCGACTAGCACTAAGTACGAACCGATCAAACCGAACTTCGGAGTCCCTCCACCAGAAAAACCGAAACGTACAACCCTCGCTTTCTCTGCACAAGAGCAAACCATCCCAAAGTCGTTCGCTAGCTCAGATGACGATTCATCGTCCAACTCAACATTCGTATCAATCAATTCGCCCTCGACAGTGATCAACACCAACTCAGCAGAAACAGCTGAACTGAAATACTCGCGACCTGAACTACTTCACACGTACTACAAGACAGTTGTGGTGCGAATCAATGATCAGCTCGTACGCGTACTCATCGACGGCGGTGGTGGCAGATCAGGCATTCTAGAAGAATGGGCCAACCGTCTGAAATTACCCACGTACTCACCCCACTCGCTCAGCATCGGAGGTTTAGGAGGTGACAATGTCCAAGTCAGCACGCGACTCGTTTCAGCAACGTTAGAGTCAACCACCAGTGAGCATCAGCTCGGAGTCGTGCTGCCAGTCATCGCATCATTCGGAAAACTTCGTCCAGTAACAGTTCCCACTAGTCTGTGGAAGTCACTAGCAGACAAAGGCTACGTGATGAGTGATTCGCCGGATTACTACAAAGTCCCCATCGGAATCATTCTCGGACTCGAATACGTCGGCAAGGTCTGGCTCAACATGGAAAAGATGATAACAGAAGACCTTTGCATTCGACAATCCATTTTCGGTTGGAGTTGCTTCGGAGTGACTCTCAAACCAGACAACTCACACTCGACTATGTTCCTCATGTGTAGTAGTTTCGAAAGTCGTCCAATCCAGTGCACACCAGTGGAGGCACTCACGCCCATCGAGAAGGAGTACCTAGACGATTTTGCTGAGAACAAAGTCCGTCTCATCGACAATCGCTACTTTGTGTCTCTACCGTGGATCAGTCCAATCCAGCTAGGCACTCACAGTGACCTATCACTCGCTCGCTTACGCCGACTAGTTCGCAGTTTGTGTCGCTCAGGAAGATTCGAGCAGTATTCGTCAGCTATCGAGGAACTTATCAACCTATTTGCCGAACCAATCCCTCGTACACCCGACTCAACGAACGTCTACTATCTACCGCATCATTGCGTGATACGTCTGGACAAATCAACCACTCAACTTCGACTCGTATTCGACGGCTCAGCAGCAGAGCCAGGTTTCAAATCGCTCAACGACAACTTGTTCAAGGGAGTCAACTCTTGGAGTTCTCTTGATTTGTTGCTTCGTTTTCGCCTTGGTAAACACGCATTCGTCTCTGATATCGAAAAAGCGTTTCTGCAGATTCAGATGGAACCGAATGATAGAGATGCACTGCGTTTTTATTGGATTGACGCCCAAGGAGTGCCGGTAGCGTATCGCTTCAAAGTAGTCCCGTTTGGCACCTCCGCGTCTCCGTTCCTACTATTCGTCGTCATGTACAAGCACCTGAAAGAGATGATCAACCGTAAGAAGGACCATCCAGAGAACGCTGTTCTCTCGGATGTAGCGTCAATCATTGAGAAACGATTCTACGTCGATGATCTCATCGTATCACTTCATTCGTCAACCCCAGAACAAATCAACACGATCAAGGAGACCACCGAAGCCATCTTCGCCAAAGCAGGCATGAACGTCCGAAAATGGCGTACCAATCTTAAGGAGTTAGACCAGCTGTGGTCACCTGACGCCTCTAACATCGTCAAACTATTAGGTCATCTATGGACCGTTGCAGTGGACACCTTCTCCTTGACAGTCAACATTTCGCCCGAGGTGCACCACTCAGTTCTGACCAAACGACTATTCGCCTCACTGTTATCCCGAATCTATGATCCGCTCGGACTCGTGTCACCTTACATCATTTACCTTCGCTTGATCCTTCGCAAGTTGTGGGCACACAGTTTAGAATGGGATGAACCAGTACCCGATGAACTTCGCAAGGAAGCACTCGCAGCAGTTCGAGATGTTCACCTCGTCAATCAGCTCTCATTTGCTCGTAATGTCCTATCGTCTGGAGAGTCTGATGAACCAACCACTTTACTCGTCTACAGTGATGCCAGCAAAGACGCACTCGGAGTAGTAGCGTACACGATCGTAGACGGAGAAACTAAGCTCTACTACGCCAAGTCTCGACTCATCAAAGATTCGTCCTCAGAAACCTCGCCCAAAGAAGTCACTATTTGTGAAGCCGAGTTAGAAGGTCTCGTAATGGCAACGGAAGTCGCTCACCATCTTTCGAATCTTGCTATCATATCACTCGCTCCCAACAGTATCGAAGCAAAGTCGAGTCCACCGTTCGATAAGGTAGTGATTTGCAGCGACTCTTTTGTCAATCTTCAACGCCTATTGAAGCACCCCAATGACCAGAAACCAAAGATTTCACTTCGAGTGAACAAAATGCGCAAACTAGTGCCGCAAGCAGTCTATCGTCATGTAGGCACCAAACAGAATCCTGCAGACCTTATCTCGAGAGGATGCACTATGACAGAACTGATGAAGAACAAGCAGTGGTTTCGCCCAGATCTACCATCAACAGACACTCTTTTCGAAAAGGAGATTACCACGATGATCAATTCACTCGCAACTATTCCCAACTCGTGTACCTGCTCTCGAGTCGCCACTTATGGCCAAGCAGTCAGCTCGTGGAGACGTATCGCCCGATGGATACAAAGCGCAGTCAGTGATGAGCGCAAGTCAGTACCAGCCGTTGCGCTAGGTAAAAACCTCCTTATTCGCTACATCCAACGCCAGCATTTTTTGGAGGAGATCAACTCGTTGACTCAAAGCAAGCCACTCGATCGTAGCAGTGTGCTGAGAAACAGCAAGTGTTTCGTCGACAAGGACGGCATTCTACGCTTACGAACCCGCATGAAAAGTGGTGTGAATCTCTCACTCGACCAAGTCAACCCCGTAATTCTACCCTCGCGATGTCATCTAACCGAACTACTCGTCAATTATGAGCATAATCGCCAAGGCCATCCAGGCGCCGACAGAACTATGGCCGCCATTCGAGACCAGTACTTCGTATTCGGTCTACGCCCGTATGTTCGCAAGTTGCTCAGTCGCTGCATGATTTGCAAGCGAACCCGAGGAAAAACGGTCAACGTTGATCTAGGCATGGTCCCTAGCTTTCGCTACGACATGTATGCCACACCATTCACCAACGTCGGAATGGACTTATTTGGTCCATTGAAGATTGCAATGAAAACACCAGGCAAGCGGTACGGTGTGATTTTCACCTGTGCTACCACCCGCTCAGTCCATCTTGAATTCGTCAACAATATGACCGCTCAGGAGGTGTTCACCGCACTCCTCACATTCATCGCTCGTCGCGGCATTCCCCATCTGTTGTACACCGACAACGGACGTCAGCTACTCGCCATTAAAAAGCAGTTCGTGCAGTTTGTGGAGCAGATCAGCGAGCACTATCCAGGACTCGACATTCGCATCAAATGGATTCAGCTCACCGCCTCATCCCCTTGGAGAGGTGGGTTTTATGAAAGATTGATCCGCATCGTCAAAGATACCCTCATCGGATTGACGTTTCGTCGAGTAATTGATGAAAGAGAACTAACACTCGTCCTCTACCAAATCGAAGCCAGAATGAATAGCCGACCGTTGTTTATGTGGGAAGGAACCGTCGTTACGCCCTCGCACTTCTTTGCCCACAAACCTCTGATGCAACTCCCACCAATTGGCAATCTACCAACGCATATCGCTAAGCCTAAGTTGATCAAAGACTATGTCGCCCTGCAGCGTCATATCAACAGCGTTTGGTTCAACTTTCACTCGCAATACCTTCTACAGCTGAAAACTTTCCACCAGAACCTATTCGTGCCCAATCAGTCTGACAATCTTCGAGTAGGTGATGCTGTGATACTGAAGAACAACACCCCGTCCACGCAGTGGCCTTTCGGAGTAGTGGAACAAGTAGAGATGTCCCCAGACGGCACTATCCGAACTGTTCATGTGCGCACCCATGATCGCGGCAATCTGGTCATCAAAGCCAGAGATGTCAGAACTCTCATACCATTCGAATGCACTCAGGAGCAGCATGAAGAAATGGACGAACAGAAATCGGTCGACCCCCAAATCCCGACTCTACCAGCCAACTCGCACTCCAATTCTGCCCTTACGGGATCGCAAGCGAGAATCTAGCCGGGGGGAGGATATGTAGCCCGCCTGAGTCAGCAGCCAACTTGACAGTCAGTCAGCCCCT